GTCACGCGAAATAGAGGATTTTCCGCATTTATTTTCTCGATGTCTAGTTCCGGTTGCGTGTTTGAAATTTCGTCGGATGGATGAATACATATTTCTCCAATGGTGGAGGGAAAGAAAAAATTTTTTTTGAATCTTTTTTCAAATTCACTTGGCACCCTTAAAAGATCAAAAGAAGGGATGCTTGGATAATGCTCAGATAGATTTCCCGTGTGTGTCCCCATTTGTATTTCACATAGACGCACATTTGCGGTCATTTTATAATGCGCCACCTGTAATTGTGCGGACGGTGAATTTGCATCGGAAATTGACTTGAATACCGGACCCATACCTCCAGGGGCATTGAGGGTAGTTTGAAAATGAACAATTCAAATCGATGATTCCCGTTGCGGTAGAGAGCCAATACGTATATTGAACCTATTGGCCACCGCCACTCAATTTCAATCCAACTGAATCGGGATAATTGAACGTTTTTTTTCTTCGGAAAAAACCAATACCACAGGTATTTTCCCCTACTATCTCTCGACCTTGTTATCTTCCCACTCTTTTTTTTTCACTTCGCGTCCTCTTCATTTTGCTTTGTTTTACCGATATATTCTGCTCTGCACAATATTCCAATATTTATTTCACGTCAACAGAGTAATATATAGGGGCAAATAACGAAAATAGATTGATACATTCGATTGAAATCGAATATGAGGGAAATTGTGTCGAAATTGTTGTATTTCTGTTTACTTTTATTGATTCTGCACTGAGAAGACAAGAGTTTTTTGAGAAGTACGGCTGTACTTGTGTACTGTTGGAAATTTTTTGAAATTTTATGGGAGATGTTATACAGTAAATCACATGAGAGTGACACTGAATCGGATTTAGGGAAAAAATGGTTATGAAATTTCATAGTTTTGAGTAGAATTCACAGAAATTCATGAGTTTTCAGTTGGAGTGAGATGGAAATTTGACACCTTGATTGAATTTTTACTGGAACATGAATATTCAGAAACAAAATGACATGAATTTTCAATTTTTCATTGAATTTTCCTGATTTTTCTGAATTTTCACAATATAATTGAACTCAAAAATCAATTGTTTTATTGATTTCCAAATTATTTGAACAGCAAATCAAGAGAATATTTGATTTTTCAATTACAAGATTTCCTGAAATTTCAGTAGAACTTGAGTGCAATAATAATTTCCGAAATTTGGCACGGCAAAGCGGACAATATCTTCCACTAATAAAAAAAAATCTTACCCCAAGAAATTTGATATTTGTCCGAAAGATGAGCAATTGGTTCATATCAAGAAAACGAGTTCTCCCATCAATTCAAGTGGTTTTGATATTAAAATATTCTAGAATTGAGCCTAAAAAAACTCTTAAATAAATGAATTCAGTTTTACTTTTTTTTATTGCTGGAGCCCTTCTCGAGTTCATTCAGCCAAAAGAAAAATTTAATACATAAATACATACAAACAGATTTCATATGTTCACTCACATTTTTGTATTCAGATGATTATTTGTTTAAATTGTGAGGTTATTCCTCAATTTTACTTGTTATGAAAAATCATTTTTTTGTCATCAAGAAATTTTCCTCGTCTTTAGGGCAAGTGCAAAATTTCTTGGCGAAAGTTTTTCATTTCTCCGTGCAATATATTTTGCTCTAGAAAATTTTCAAGGCACGACTTTCTTGATATAAGTAAAGACGTATTTTTCAAAAAACATTGTTTTCTCAGTGTGGACATTGCTTTCGTCACTAACGCTGTCTCATATTTTGAAAATTGTCTTATTTATCCACGCATTTTCCCCGATATTTTTATTTCGTTGTCCACTCCGCACGTAGACGCGTAGGATGTGACATTGAGACGTATATTTACTCGGCGATCGTTTTTCATCACGAGAATTAATCACTGTTGATGGCTGTGGTCTGCGATTACACGTCGTATCAATTCCTGGATGATATCTCAAATTGGTATCGTTTCTGTTTAATATTGATGATGAGATTTGCTCTTAGTAGCTGCAAGGAGATATACGAGGTTGGTACGATGTCAATAAAATTGACTTCTGTGGAAAGTGTATACACAGAGCGTAGCTGTATCAAAGAAGCCTCAAGGGTTATGGAGCATTTCACTACACCGAGGCAGTGGTACTACGTGGTATCATTGGGGTTTTACTGGGATTCAGGTACTGGATTGTGCAAGCCACCCTCAGCTGATTCCAGAATAATTAATTTGTCAGCAAATCAACAGGGTCAGGGGTTTTCATTTCACGCATCAGGTGTTTTTATTGCGATTCCCACATTACTTCGTGAAAGTAGAAAATTTCTTGACGATGGAGATTATATTAGGTTAACAAAAATTAAACTTCCATTTTTGTGGTGAATACATGTGACTTGACTCCGAGAGCACTCTTTTATTTGATCCAAGTAAGTGCATTTAAGGCCCGGGTGGACTATCTTTCGAACGTTATCTCGATGTTTTTTTTCATCTTTCGTCGTCTGAAATTGTCAATTAAGTCCTGCATCATGCAGAAGTTTTGAAAAATTATGAATGAATAATAAAAAAAAAGTAGAAAAAATTCTTAATTTTTTCAAAGAGCATTTTTAATTTATAATCAGAATAAGTTGAATAACAATAAATTGAAAAATGTATCTGATTTACGGTGACAAATGGCGGCCTATCACCCAATATCATGCAGGGGGAAGACTGATTTCGTAAATCTTTTCCCACACTGCACAGAGACATTTATTACGGAAAAGGCTCTTTGAAAAAAGTTGTAATATTTTGGAGAATTTTTTAATCACACTTTTATCACATAAAAATGGCAGATGACTACATACCACTGTTTTGAAAATTGAGATACCTAGCTGTCACTTCCCATGAGGAGTTAGTGTTTTGTTATCCACCATGGAAAATGACAGCTAATAGATAATTTGCCACAGCGAATCAGATATTTGTAATTTCCACTTTTTTCAACTCATTCTGAATCTCAATTAAAAACGCTCTTTGAAAAAGTTC